ACCCTTCTTACTTACAAATTAGAATGATAGAATCCAAATGCAGAAGTTAGAGATAACTTCAAAAAATCAAAAGTGATATTCTTGATAGAGACATTTGGACATACTCAGAAAAGCAGACATTTTGGATAACTTCAACATAAATACAGAGCATAAAACATGAAATTCACTTACGTGCATGATCTCCCAGATGGAGATTGCCCATGGCCTCAGAATATAACAGCCAGAAATGTCATAGTACTCAATCATTTCCGAGTTGACAACAACCTGTCCAGGAGATAAAAATTGAATACTAACAAGACTCAATCCTACTTACGTAGAGCAAAAAATCAATAAATATTAGAGAGAGTGAGAGAGAAAACATACCTCAGAGTACCATTCACCAAAGTTATCATCTTTCTTGTAGGAAAGCCCCAAACCAGTCTCCTTCTTGACTTCCTTCTTCTTTCCCCCTAAACCCATTAACAAGAAAACAGTTCCAAACTTAGAATCTACCTCAATTTGAGAATTTGCATGCTTAAACTCAACAAGAACAGTTCACCAACTGAATCAAAGGTGAACTGAAAACACTCACCTCCACTGGAACCAGCATTGGACTTTTTGTCTCCTCCCGCCATATGGAAACTTAGTTGTGAGAGGGGGGTCGATTCCTAGCCTGCGTTTGCTTCAGTCCGAAGAGCGGGTGGAGCAGAGAGGAAAGGCAGTGTCACCGTGTGAGAACGAAAACCCTAGACATTCATAAGAATTAATTGGTAAAAAGTACCTTAAGCCCTTCAACTTTACCTTAATTCGATGAAAAACTCCGCTAACTTATCTGGTGGCCAAAATTCTGAAATGTCACATCCAATCATGGGCAAAAACTTACTTTGAGCCCTTTACCTTATCAAATTTAAAGGTTTTAACCCCTCACTTAATATTAGGATACTTTTAGCCCCCACCTTACTAGATTTGTAGGTTTTAACCTCTCACCTCTTAAAATCGAAGAAAATAATTCTCACTTTATATTGACTGTTAACTCTGTTATCTGAAAGTAAATTTTTGTTAACTAACAATCAACTAATAATCAATTAATAGAATTAACGAAATATTATAAAATTAATTATGTTAAATCTATTAGCTAAAAGAAGGTTTTTGTCA